TGATACCATATGTGCATCAGAGTAATACACTTCATATGAAAGAATATATCTTTTTTTTGTATGGGATTTCTGCTTCTGGGCTTATTTTTCTAAAAATACCAAAGTGCTTCGTATTTATTTATAAAATACCTGGAGTCTTAAGATCTGTAGCATATTTTCATGTACAATACTTTTTTGCCCCGTTTTGCCAGAATAGGGGAAGGAAATGTAAGGTATTAGAGAATAAAAATTTGAAAGTGTAACAACATTTTTAGTATGGAAGGCCAGGAATTAGTAGTGTTTTAGTGGAGAATCTGGGGTGGGGACGTGAGTGGGAGAGAGACAGGCAGGCAGACACACTATGTATTTAAAACAATACATCACTTAATACATTGTGATGGGAGACAGATTTTTAACATTCTTTGTGACATATGGTTTAGCAAGAACGCTTGTACCAGGGTTTTTTATTTTAATGAACTTTCCCTTTTTCTGATGGTGATATATAGAAAAACAGAATGTTGGCTGCAGGTCACATGCTGTGATGCGGATGACGGAAGCAGGGCAGGCTCTCCTGACTCTAATATGCACCAGGATCTTGGCAATGCCTTTCATAATTTATTAGTTTTTAAAATGGAGCACTTTGCTTATGAAGCTTCAGAGAAACAAGGACAATAAAGTATACAATTAATTAAAATCTTTAGAGCAACCAGCAGCATCATTAATAAAATATTACCCTCTAAAGCACATAAGAATTGCAGCTTACCCTCCCATCTCAGTGGGAAAAACCAGGATAAAAGAGTCTGTCTTTCATCATAGTCAATAAACTGAGTTTATTGGACTGGGTCTCCTGGTAGATTTTCAAAGAAATAGGTTCATAGCCAATATCCCACTCCTCTCTGCATGAAACATCTGGGTTAATAATAACAGTCGCCTGCCTTTGTTTAGCACTTACTTCATTTATATTTCTTGTTTAATCCTCACAAGAACTTTGTAGGGTAAATGTTAGGATGTCCATTATATAGATGAGAAAAGAGAGGCTCAGATAAGTTAGAAATGTAGCACTAGCAGGAGCTTGTCAGAAGGGCAAATTTCACAGCCCCATCTCGGACTTACTGAAACAGAATTTCCAGGGGTGGAGTCCAGCAGTCTGTTTTGAAATGAAGTCTCCAGGTGATTCTTATGCGTGCTGAAGTATGAGAACAATTGGTTTATGAGACTTTATGTGACATTACTACTCTGTGGTGGGAGCTGAATTTGAGACCTGGTGTATTAGACTTTTCTATTCACAGGGAATAATCTCGAAGATGACCTTCAAAGCAGGGGCCTCCCCAGAACTGCATATCCTTTAGGCTTGCTGTGGGGTTGTTTTTTTCCTCTCTCTCTTTTTCCATCATTAGCCCCTGCCTTTCCAAATAGCTTCTCTGTCTAGTGTACGTACAAAAAGACACAGTTTTAAGAGAAAGATCCTTTTAAAATCTTCAGAGAACCCCCTGGCTCTGATCTCTTTCCTATTTGTACCATTATATCTCTTTCCAAAAGATTACTTTGAAACTGAAATGTGATCGGTTCTGGTCATGCCTATTTGAAAGCCTCTGACATCATTTATGGTCTCGGCTGTGTTTACTTCTATGTCTTCACAGGGACAGCCTGGTGTGGGGTACACAGATGTTAAACTAGTTCTTACTGGCTCATTGATAGAATGGCACCGTTTTCATCGCATCTCAAAGAGCTTATTCTAGAATGTTGGTGCTGTGCTGGTAAAGTGTCCAGAAGAGTCATGGCCCATGGTTGTATATCCTGGTTTCGCCATTCACTAGTTGCATGATCTGGATACATTCTCCGACTTCTCTGAGTCGTGGTTTTCTTAACTAGAAAATAGAGATGGCAATATGGCGTGGATTACATTTGCTTCTTTGAGAATACTTTGGAAACCACTGGGTGCTATGTAAATGTGAAATAACATTCTGGCACATTTTGAAGAATGGCTTCTGACGTTGGGTGTACTGAGCCATTTGGGGATGAACGTGTGTTCCCCTTCCCTATGATAGTGACAGTGTTTGTCAAATGAGTCTCTCTACAAGGGCATGCATTATGGAAGAAGCTCAGGCTTTGGACTTACCCAGGCCAAGCTGTGGTGGACATCCTGATGATCCTTTCTCAGCTTTTATCTCTAAAATGGATGTCAAAGGACCCACTTGTGAAAGTTGTAAGCAAAGAGATTGGCATTGAGGACAAAAGAATTGAGAGTCAGTGGTGTATCACTGTGATTTAAGACATGAGATTGGATGTAGTCACTCAGGAAATGAATGCAGAGGAGAGAACAGCAGGGCTGGAAGAACACTGGGTGAGGAATTAAGACCCTCCGCGCCCTGGCGCTGACCTCATGCTATAGCTCGGTCTCTGGAAGGCTCACTTATTCCAGCCTCAGATCCTTACCAAGCCCGCATTATAGAATGAGAAGAAGCTGCAGAGACATTGCATAAGAGAGCATTTTGATTACCATATAGTGGGGGTTCCAAACTCGCTCCACCACAGCCCAGATGACTACATAGGGGTGTCAGTCCAAAGTGCATGTTCCTGTATCTTGTGTGTGTTTGTAGGGTGGGTTGGCAACACGAAGAACATGTGGGACAGCTGCTACTTGGCTCTGTGAATTATTGTCCTATGGTACTGTGAATCTAAGGTTACTTGGTCATCTGATTTTTGAAGGGAAGCCTGGAATCTGAATTTTTTGGTGACATCTTCAGACTTGTTAAATGTAGGCTGAATCGGGGTTGGGGAGACGGGAGAAACAAACTCCTTTGTGGCCCAAGTAACACACATCTGTGGGCCAGATTTGGCATTAGGCTGCTGGCTGGTGGCCTCTGCAGTGGAGTGTTCTATAAACATGACCTGTTATTATTGGATGTTCTGGAATTTATAACAACCTCCCAGGAGCCTTTATGTTGGGGCCCCTTTAGGATCCATGCTTTCTTTGCTTCCTCCAAACTCCCCTTCCCCACAAGATATACCAGACCTGTTTTGATTCAGACTCCAGGGACTTTAAATTTGTGCTGCATAGTTTGGAGAGACTCTGAATCTGTTCTGGCAGGCTGGTGAACAATCGCTCCTCAGAGGGGAGAGTTGAGGAATTGGTATTATGGGTCTTACCTCTCCTCCTGGAAGGTCAAGGCACAGAATGTCTGCTGCCAAATAGCACTCCGGTGCCCCTTGGATCTGCTGAGCCCCTGGGATAAAAATTATCCATCACATACCCTTAGGATGTGTGACTCTCTCTCAGGAATGGTTTTTTCATTGCCTTCTTTTTTATTTGTGTTACAGAGAAAAGAGTTTGATGTGGACACCCTCAGTAAGTCGGAGCTGCGGATGCTTCTCAGCGTCATGGAAGGGGAGCTGGAAGCCAGAGACCTCGTCATCGAGGCCCTGAGGGTAAGCTCGTTGGAGGACTGGTCTCATCACTGTGTCATTTTGTTTTTGCAAAGGGCCAATGGCAAAGCTTCTTTTTCTTAATTTTTGAATCAAGTATAATATATCTTAAATGTTGTATCATATCAAAATGTGCCCCTCACCCCAAACACCAACCCATAACCTTTATAAGCCCAAATAAACACTGAAGTCAGATGGTCATGGAAATGACGAGGGCTGGGAGTCAGATGCTGAATGTGGGAAACTTGAGAAGTCGGCTGTACGAGTTCAAAAATCCTTTCATGTTTCACATGTTTATTTGGTTAAAGACATATGTTTCCAGAAAATTGGTAATTTGGTATTCTATGTGTATGTGAGGGCAGTAAGGAAAAATTAAGAAAAT